CCCACTGCTCACATCTCGCCAGGTTGAGTACAACCCATCCACCACTACTCTCTGGGTGCGCCCCATCAGCCAATTTTTTACCCATCCAACTGTGCAGGCATCAATGCCACAGTCGCTTAATTTATTGAGTGTCAAAGGCCTTAAAGTCTAGAAAGACTATGTCCACAGCGACACCATCATCCAAGGATTTAGTTACTTGGTCGTAAAAGGCAATCAGGTTGGTCAGACAGGACCTGCCTTTGGTGAAGCCATGCTGATTTCCCCTGAGCATGATCTCCCCTGCAGGCCCCCCACAGATATGCTCCTTGATGATCCTCTCCAAGAGCTTCCTGAGCACCGAGGTGAGGCTTACAGGCCTATAATTACTTGGGTCCTCCTTCCTCCCCTTAAAAACTGGGACCATATTAGCCAGTTTCCAGCCCCCAGCACCTGGCCAGATGACCACAAATGCTCATACAGCCAGGCCAAAGGCTCCGCGAGGACCCCTGCCAGCTCCCTCAACACCCTTGGGTGGAGGGCATCTGGACCTGCAGATTTTAAAAATGTCTAGCCCTTCCAGAAGATCCCTAACTACATCTGTGCTGACTGAAGGCTTGATAGAGCTATCCCCAAGATTGTCCCTTCCTCTGGTAGGTGGGATATCCCAGTCCCTGTTCAGGGCTGTGCTCCCCACACATCCATGCTCCTAAGCCCCACATGTCTGCCATGAGGGTGTTCACCCTTGTAACCAGATGCTGCTCTCAGGACTGCCAGAGATCAAGGGCAAGCACCAGAGAGCAGTCTCACCAATGCAGTTTGGCTTCTAGAGCATGTCAACCCAAGTCAGGTGTAGTACTCTGCATCATCTTCCCCTTGACCAACTAGTACTGTGGGAGAAAGCAGCACTTAGAGAGCTTCATACTTCCTTTAAGCAGATGCCTCTAATCTTGCTCTAACAGGCTGTGGACATATAGCCATTTAGGTACTCTCATAATACAGATGTCCCACATGTGCTTCTCCCAGCAGTGTCCAAGGTGTTGGGGCTGACAGCTTGGAGAGAAACCCTGGGAATCTGGCTCTGAAATCTACTGAACAGGGAGCATTAGCCTGGCACAGGGACCTGCCCCTCCCTCACACCCAGCACTTAGGTTTTTGGAAGGAAGACCCTATGTTCTTTAGGAAAACACGTGTTAAGGTCCAGTCCTGCTTGTAGGCCCATCTGAGCAAAAGGAATACCAGTATTTTTCTCTTGCCAAAAGGGCAGGAACTAATCTGGAGTTTCTTTTCACCATGCAGGAGGTACCTGGCTGCTGAGCAGAGCTGAGGAGCAGGCTCCTGAGGAAGGGCCTGTAAACCTGGAGCCAACACAGACTTCCCTAGGGGGGTTGGGTGAGATGGACTCCCTGAGACCTGAGAGGGACCTGTGGCACAGGAGTCAGGGGAGGCCCCAAAAGCAGAAGAATGTAGCTGTGAACCAGGTACCATCACCAGTTGGTCGTGAGATGTATATGGAGAGTGGGGAGCAGTCACACCACTGCACCAAGTGTGGGAAGAGCTTCAGCCAGCCCTCCAACCTGGCCAGGCACCGGTGTGTGCACACAAGGGAGAATCCATGTCAGTACTCTGAGAATGGTAAGAGTTTCCACCACTTCTTCATTCTAGCCAAAAGCCAGCAAATCCACACAAGGGAGAAGTCACATCCATGCCCTTATTGTGGGAAGAGCTTTAGCCGGCGTTACCACCTGGCCCGGCACCAGCTAATCCACACAGGGGAGAAGCCATATCAGTGTTCTTTGTGTGGGAAGAGCTTCACCAGCTCCTCCCACCTGGCTGAGCACCAGCTCATGCACACAGGGCAGAAGCCACATCACTGCTCTGTGTGTGGGAAGAGCTTCATCCGTCGCTCTCGCTTGGTCGAGCACCAGCTCATCCACACAGGGGAGAGGCCTCATCAATGCTCTGAGTGTGGGAAGAGCTTCATCCGCTCCTCCCAACTGGCCAAGCACCAGCTCATCCACACAGGGGAGAAGCCGCATCAGTGCTCTGAGTGTGGAAAGAGCTTCAACCGCTCCTCCAACCTGGCACAGCACAAGCTTATCCACACAGGGGCAAAGCCACATCAGTGCTCTGTGTGTGGAAAGAGCTTCACCTGCTCCTCCTACCTGGTAAAGCACCAGCGCATCCACAGAGTGGAGAAGCCACACTAGTGCCCTGCATGTGGGGAAAAGATTCAGGCACTCCTTCAGCCTGGCCTACCACCAGCTCATCCACCAATGGAAGAACCCACATCAGTGTTCAGAATCTGGGAAGAGCTTCACTCAGTCCTCCAGCTGGGCCCAGCGCCGGTGCATCCACTGATGGGAGCATCCACAATTTTGATGGCAGTGAAGGGGGAGGGCTTGGGGATGTCTACCTGCTTTGTGTTGGCACCGGATTTATGACCCAGTTACTTTGTTCCAGACTGACCCAGACCCTTAGAACAACCACAGCCTCTCCATTCAATAATAGGCAAATGTTATTGATGCATAGTAATAGCATGCAGGGAAGGCAAACAATTCTATATCTACCAGTCCTAGGGCTATCATGGAGGGAAGGTATATCTTGCCAGTACATGAGCTTCACCCTGAGATTCTTTATTGAATGTCAGATGGGAGCAGCCTGGAGGTTGAGGGCTGAGGCCCACCCTCCCCCAGTGGGGTGGGTGAGATGGGTTGGTGGCCTCAGGTTCCCCTCTTGGGCACCATTTGCTGCTCTGAAACCCCTCCTTTTGTGTCCTGATGACTTTACATTCCTGAGCAGCATTGATTGGTTTCCCTGTGGTTGTCATACTGTCCACGTTCTGTCCTGTCAGCATATTCCTTTGTTTCAACAAACCCATCACAAGCACACATCTTAATTTGGTTATTTACCAGGGCTCTGCAGTTGGGCACTGTGACCTAATGCCACCTTATTTCATGTTGTGGAACAGTGTGGTACATGTCTTCAATTTCCCATCCTGTGTGTCTGCTGGCTTCAGACACAGTGGGCCTTGAAGGAAACTGTCACAAACAGACTTTTAGAAAACAGTTAACCCTTGCGATTGCCCTGGACCATTGTTCTAATGCAAATCTACTTCACCTGCAAGCCATTTCCCAAAACCTCTAAATACCATTTTCTAGCCATCACTCAGCATCCACCAGTGACTGCATTTAGGCAAGCAGCCTCATGCTGTTGGACTGTAGGAAGAGTTCACCCAGCCTTTGGCCCTTGTAGGGCACAGCAGAACTGAAAGGATCCAAGGACTGGCTCCCATGGTTTGATTGGGGGGGCAGGGGGGAGCAGGATGCTAAGAGGAAACACCTCAAAAAGAGACTAGCCCAGATGCTGGGGGAACCTGTGAAGAGATGATCTTTGTATCGGCCTTGGAGCCTGTGCATTCCCCATCGTTCCCTACAAGCAGTCAGTGCTCCCAGGGGGAGAAGACATACCTGCACAATAAGGTGCCCTCCCAAGACAGCTGGATCCACATGATACCTAGAGATTGTCATTCACCACCTTCTAGCTTTGTCCTCCCCCCTGGTCCCAGGGTTCTGGTATGTGAGGCTCTTGAGTTGCAAAAAAGAGGACATTTATGGCTGGGGAAGGATTCCCTGCCCTCCACCCTGACCTCATCTCTCCTCCCCACCACATAACTCCTCTCCCAGACCTGCACATGCCCATCAGGGTCTGCAAGGACCTGCTACTGCCCCTCTGCCTCCCCCAGCTCAGCTTGGCAGGTTTTGTTTCTCATTCATTCCAAATCTCTTTGCCACTGGGTACGTGCTGCTGCCTCTGTCCTCCTTCACTTCAGTGTATTCTTGATAATGCAGTCTGTGTTACTAAAGCTCCAGAACTGTGGTTGGTTTCTGTGTCATCTCCAAAGCTGTGCAATGGGACTAGACCAGGGCCCAGGACCCTTTCCAGGCAGATCTCTCTGACTTCCCAACCCCATCCCTTTCTAGAGCATTCACCATAATCTGGGGCTGGTTACTAACCCTCAGGAACAGGAGTTGGTCACACCTGAGGCATTACTCCCATGTCCTGCTGCGCAGGTGGGACCCTGCCCTTTTGAAGGAACATCTGGCCAGGGGGCAGAAGTCCCTTTTCTGGGTGAGATGGGGTAGCAGGGGTGAAGGAGGTACAGCCTGTGGCAGGTGCTGCTCCTGTGGAAGGGTGGGAAAAGTATCTTCTGGCATAGGCCACTGGGGGTGGGCGTGGGTGTTCCCCAGCAGCCAATTGCCAAACCCCAAATCACCAGTAGTGAAACCGGAAGTGCACTTCTGCTGGCACTTCTGGTTTCGTGCCTGGTGTTTCCAGGGGGTGCACGACCAATCTCAAGGGCTGCGTGTGCACCCCCTACATGTTGCCAGTGTGTGCTGGGTGAAATGCAGCCTTTTGTAATCTCCCATTTTGAATACAGGCAGTCCTCCGACTTACAACACAATTGGTTCCCGAAAAATGCATCGTAAGTCGAAATGTTGCAACTTGGAACCAGTTTTCTCATAAGAAGCAGTATTATAAATGAGGGATTGGTTCCTGAACCAAAGCCCAATACCCTATTTTCCCCCCAAATACCCCAGAATTTTGTACTGGATCAATTATAAATGAGTAATATAGCTACATTCATCTATTTGTATTGTAAATAGCAATCATATTGATTTGGAAGGACTTCTTTGAGGTGACTTTGCTGGACTTTTTGAAGGGCTCTTGGCTGGAGTCTTGACTGCAGGTTTGTCTGGTGTCTTGTCTGCTTTCTTAAAGTGTCCAAGGAGGTTTGGACAGATGTTCTCCAGGGAGATGGGTGACGCAGCAAAGTTGTTCGCTGCCATGGCTTGGTGTCAGATCAAGCGTTGTAAAGTTGAAACTGACGTCAGAAAGTTGAAATGGTGTCAATTTAGAAAAGTTGTAAGTGCAAAATGTAACTCAAAACCTTTTAAGTCAAGGACTGCCTGTACAGAAGCCTTCTTGCTAATTCCAAACCTGTTTGGTTCCATGGTTGTCTTGGGGACATGTCCTGCTGCAAAGACTCCCGCAACCTTCAGTGCACCAGCTCATGGCAGGGAGATGCTGCCCCCATCCCTGCTAACCCCAGGGAAGGAGACCTTTCTCCTTCTCAGCAGGCCCTGGGGTTTCCCATTGAGGCAAGAACCCAGGTCAGCCCCCAGTCCCGGCAGCAAGCAGGAGGCGCATGATCCACAAACCCCAGCCCCTGGTCCCGTGGGTGCAGAAGTCTTCACCACATCGATGGAACTTTTCTCTTCTTGCTGGTCTGTCCCTGCTGCTTATCTGCTCTGCGCTGTCCCTCACAGACCCCTTCCTGACCCCTCTGTCCTCTGGGTTTCCTTGCTCCTGCCTTTGCCAGTGTGAAGGGCCTCTTGGGGGAGAAGCAGGCACTGCTCATTGCTGGGGCCGTCCATGGTCTGTCCTTGCTTAGGGTGAACTGCCAAAGTTGGCAGGGCAGGTGGTGGTGGCCTGGGCTGCCAGGTGTGGCTGCAGCTGGGGAGCGCCCTGGAGCCTGCCCCTGGAGACTCAAGGAGCCCTCTCCTAGGAGGCCTCACGGGCACTGGCCCATGGTGCAGGCTCTGGCAGCCCACCCATGCTGGAACAGATGTGGGGGGCTGTGTTGGGCTCGGGGTCTGGTCCAGCTTCCACTGAAAGGGCACGGACCTGTGGGTAACCCTCAACCAATGATTGTGGTCCCTGACTCGGACCTACTGGGCTCACGTGGCCTTGGACCTTCACACAGCACTGGTGGCTGCACTCCAACATGCCCTCCACCACAGCCGTATATATGTGAACATTGGGCCAGGTGGCCCAGCCAAACTGCTGCTGGACCTCCACATCACCCTAGATTGCAAGAAGGTGCATGGTCTCGTGCTCCATCCACTTTGGCCCACAGGCCACTGTCTTCGTTATCAGGGAGGCACATGGCAGCTGCTGCCAGGGGCCTTGGAGGAGTCAGGCTGGGGCTCTAGGTGCTGGCATCACCTGGCACATGCCCTCCAGGGTGAGGCACGGCATCCAGGAGGCAGACTGTGCCCATGCGGCGTCCTGGCAGGCAGAGCCTGGATCTGCAGGGCTGCAGCACCTGGCACGTGCCTGCAGGGATGGGCATGGAGCCCATGGGGCAGGCAGCTCCTGGAATGGGCTCTGGGGGAAGAGCTAGGGTCTGTGGTGCTGTGGCATCTGGCACGTGCCCAGACTGGTGGGGCACTGTCCAGGGGGCAGACAAAAGCTGGCATAGGCCATGGGTCTGGAGGCCAGCTTGGACAGCCAGTGAGCTGTCTCTGCCACCCACGTGGCTCTGCACCAGGAAGGAAGCTGGACCTCTTCTGGTGCTGCTGCCCTGGGGGCAGTTTGCACCCTACATCAGTGTCTACACATGTGCTACTGCACATTTGTTAATGTGCCATGTTTCTAGTACTTGTATGTATTGGTACAGAAACATGTTTCTTTTGGCCCAGGAGCAAGAGCTGTACCATGCCATCTACACGGGCACGAGCACGGGTCAGCTGCAGGTGTGGAGGAGGCCCTCTAAGCAGCATCAGCTCTGGGAAGGGTTTTGCCCCAGTACGGCCTGGTCCCAGGGGCCTGTGGCTGGGGTGAATGTCCCTGTCCTGTCACTCATCCCCACGCAAACTCCTGCCAACCCCCTGCCTACTCCTGAGGCTGCCCCCACAGCGCCTGGGCTGGGGCAGACACTGCTGGGTCCAGCTGTACTCTGCTGTAGGCATTTCTGAGCTCTGCTTTGTTGCTGTCCCTCCCCCTGCCCTGGAGCCTCCCCTGCAAGTCTCCCTGTGACCCAGCTCCCCCATGGGCTGGGCCGAGGGCTCCTGTCCTGGGGGGCTGCAGTCGGGTCTATTTTTTGTGTAGCTGCTGGAACTGCAAGCAGGGGGTCATGGACCAATGCCCACCAAGAAGTATAAGCCGCCCTTATTAAGGGAGGCCCCTATGGGCACATCTATTGCGCCCATGGGGCAAATAAAAAAGAAAACAGGGCTATAGGCAGTGGGGGGCAGAAGCTGTAGGGCTGGGGCCCAAGCAAGCCAAAGGAGCTGGAGGCTGTGGAGCAGGGCTCCAGGCTGACCGCCTGCCAAGCAGGGCCTGGGCTGCAGCCAGGCTGGAGGGGAGGGTCAGGGGAAGGCCAGACTCAGGAGCTGCTACCTGCC